ACGGTTTCAGACCGGGGGTGACGGGATCACATGAATTACTGTTGATGATATAAATCCTGCGGGTACCTTAAGGACCCTAAACTATGGGAATTATGGTGTATTCCTTATTACGGGTCACGCAGGGTTTGTATCATCAACCCTATTGAAGTCATCGAGGATAGGAGGCTGAAGCATTCCGAAAAGCGACGGCCTCAACCGCAATAAACCCTAAACCCTGCCTGAACCCCAACTAACCCTACCCCTTAAGGACTTATTACGAAGAAGGCATAACCTCTAACCCTAAATCGGTAAGTTATATTTGGGGTCCAGCTAAACTATAGACCCTAACAGTCTCTAGCCCCAGGCCTTTCAGCCTTCCTCGTTCCTTTCCAGTCTTTCTTGGTGTGGTGTAGGGTGTAGGGTTTAGGGTTTAGGGTTTTAGGGTTTAGGGTTTAGGGTTGTAGTGTTTATGGCGACTTGGCCCCAAGCAATGTCCGTCCGAACATCACAGCTCGCTGCCGGCGGAAGCGAGTTCTTCGAAAAAGTGGCTGGGGTTGCTAAACCCCAGACAATGAACCTTAAAACTGGATTGAAGACGAAGATTTAAGAGGTAATCAGAGCGTAGGGCAACCCTAAACCCTCGGTAAGTAGAGCTTAGGGCTCTCTGAATCTCTGTAGCCTATTACTATAGCTCTCTGAGGCCCCCTTCGCCTTATAGTCAAGTAGATGGGCCCGGAGTGGAAGCCTGGGATTTGGGAGTGACCTGTGGATCCAACTAATGTTTGAGGGTGTAGGGTTTAGGGTTTAGGGGGTTTAGGGGGGTTTGGGGGTTTGGGGGTTTAGGGGGTTTAGGGTTTAGGGTTTAGGGTTTTGGGGTGTTCAGTTTCAGAGTGTTTGGGATCAGCTCTGCGTCTTCGCAACCCTAAGCCCTAAACCCTACTAAGCCTTAAGCCCCAAGAGCCCTAACCCCTAAACCCCAAAGATCAAGAGACACGCTGCGTCCAATGCTACCTGGACATTTCTTGCACGCCCAACCTAAGCCTACAGGGTTTATGCAGCCGCTATTTAAGGTATAGGGTTTAGGGGTTAGGGGTCTAGATGGGTTTATGGTTTAGAGTTTAGGGTTTAGGGGTTTAGATTCTTTAGGGTTTAGAGTTTAGGGTTTAGGGGTTTAGATGGGCTTAGGGTTTAAGGTTTGGGGTTTATAGGGGTTTAGGGGTTTAGGGTTTAGGTTTTAGGGTTTGGCTTCAGAGTTCGTCAGCTTCGAGGTGGAGGACAGCCCCAGCAGCGACGAGGGCAGCGACAGCGACGAAGTAACTTTGCACCGGGAGACAACCCTAAACCCCCAAACCCTAAACCCCAAACACCTAAACCCTGAACACCGAAACCCTAAACCCTAAACCCCTAAACACCAAAGCCCCATACCCCTAAACCCTAACCCCTAAACCCTAAACCTCTAGGCCCGGGGTTCCTTTTAAGGGTTTCGAGTTCTTTGCTCCTTCAAGGGTTTGGGATTTAGGGATCGCAGGTTTTTGGGTTTAGGGCTCCTATCGGGCTTGGGGGTTGGGTTTGGTTTTCATAGGTTTTTTGGGTTCATGGCAACCTCAACTCGGCAGAACTTAGAGTTCATTCTGTTTCGGCTCATGAATGGCAACTAAGGTGGTTGTTAGCTTTCGCAAGCACAAGCTGTTCTGCTGCTGCACGATCTTTTCGTTGCTTCGGCTGCAATTGGCAGCTGTGGTTGAGGGTTTGATCGCCCAATCTGTAGTATCAGAGTTCATAACCCTAAACACCAAACCGCATCATTAAACCACTGCCCTGAAGACTAAAGCGCCGGAAATGAGCTGTGTTATGAGCCACGAAGAGGGATGCGGTTGAGGGTTCGGGGCCTTCTGTGTCCCTCGACTACATGAATCCTGGCTCCAACTTAATCAATAGAAGCCTAAACAATTACCTGTAGAGTTCCATAGGTTCCCTATTCTACAACATACCATAAAGGAGCAGCCCCTAATAACCTACCGTTTTAAGGGCTTATATAAAGAAATCATAATAAGGAACCCTAAAAAGGTAGGTTATTTGGGGTCCAGGTAGTCTAACTATTAAAGCGGCCCCTTTTTATGATTGTTGTTCAAACTTTGAGCCTGAAAGCTTCTCTGCGTCGAAGCCTCTTTAGACTCACATTGGCAGCAGCCGAAAATAGAGACCCCAACATAAACCCGAGTCTTTGGAGCCCTAAACAACCCCTATAAGCCCCAAAGCCTAAACCGTCAACCCTAGACCCTATTTGCCTAAACCCTAAACCCTATTCCCCTAAACCCTTTTCCCTTTTTCCTAAACCCCAAAAACCCTAAACCCTAAACCCTAATCTCGAGGTCTCCTCCCCTCTTCACAGGCTCTGGTACTCTTGGGCCTCTTTGAGTTTCGGGTTTAGGGTTCAGAAACCCTTCAAGCTCGACGGAGTTACGGCCGTCGCGCAGGCAATGCAAACCCTAAAACCCAAATCGGTAATAAAAAAAACTGCGGTTTTTTTGGCAACGCTAGACCTTCAAGTCAAGGTTGGATCATGACCCTACGAGTGTGGTAACCGCAAACCCCGTAACCCTAGCCGCTACTACACCCCTAAAACCTTAGACTGGACTTCACCAAACCTTAAAGTGGTACAAAGCCTTAGTTCCCCAATACCCAGCCTTTAAATTTTTTGGGGTTCTTATAATTTAGTAGCAATCTGAAAGTTTAACATTTATTTACCTGGCTTGTTGGGGAAGTAAGAAGCCTTGATTTCAGGTCTTACTATGGAGCCTCTATACCCTAAACCCTAAACTCTATAAGCCCTAAACCCCAAAGTGGTGCAAACAACTTGATTTCAGGTCCTACTATGGAGCCTCTATACCCTAAACCCTAAACTCTATAAGCCCTGGTGCAAAGATCTTGATTTCAGGTCCTACTATGGAGCCTCTATACCCTAAACCCTAAAGTGGTGCAAAGATCTTGATTTCAGGTGCTACTATGGAGCCTCTATACCCTAAACCCTAAACCCCAAAGTGGTGCAAAGATCTTGATTTCAGGTCCTACCCTAAACCCCAAACCCTAAAACCCTAAAGCCCTGAACCCTCTAAGCCTTGATTTCAGGTCCTGCTAATGAGCCTCTATACTCTATACCCTCAGCCCTAAACTCTATAAGCCCTAAACCCCAAAGTGGTGCAAACAACTTGATTTCAGGTCCTGCTTGTGTGGCATTCTGGTGCTCCTTCTTGCCTTCCTCGCCTGGCAAGCTAAAGGGCTGGTGTCAATCGGCCCCTGGGATTCGTGCTTTAGGGTTTAGGGTTTAGGGTTTAAAACCCACCCTAAACCCTAAGCCCTAAACCCAAACCCCAAACTTTAGGGTTTAGGATTTAGGGTTTGGGGTTTGGGGTTTCGGGGGGCTTGAGGATATGGGCTTAGGGTTTAGGGGTGCAGGGATGAGGCTTTCGGGTTCACGGACTAGGTTTCGGGGAACGGGTTCGGTCAGGGATTAGGGTTTATGGTGTAGGGATTTGGGATTAGGAGTTAGGGCTTGGGGTTTAGCATTTAGGGTGGTGGCCGATAGTAGCAGTAGTATAGTAGCAGTAGTAGCAGCAGCTGTAGTAGCAGTAGTAGTGGTGGTGGTGGTGGTGGTAGTAGCAGTAGTAACAGTAGTAGTAGTAGTAGTAGTAGTAGGAGGAAGGCCTGACCTGGACGTTTGCCCGCATGTATTCGGCAGCTGCAAGCATTTGACCCAGCAAATACGAATGTCAATGTTTTGGGTTTTAGAAATGCTTGACATTTCACATCAGCTGCGATTTTTGCAGCAAGAATGTTCACATGTGAAGATTCCCTGCTGGTACCTCGGGACACAAAATGCTCGTGAAGGGCAGGTTTTTCTGCTGTCGGCACCCCGCCAGTCGTTCGAGGAAGCGCTGCGCACGGCCTTCCAGGCTAGGGGCGGGAATTCTGCTTTTGCATGCTTTTTGGGATGAATCTAGAGAAGACTGGAAAGCAGTGCGTACAGCGCGTACATCGCTTTCGCGCACCCGACACGGATGGGGTCTGGGTGGACGCTATCATGGATCATGGTTGGGACATGGATGCTCTGGCAGAACGGATGGGGTCTGGGTGGACGTTATCATGGTCGGGACATGGATGCTCTGGGTTTCGTTCTGGATGAGCAGGCCCTATCCCTAAACCCTATAGAGCTTACAAGTTTAGGGCTTAGGGTACAAATCCTGTCTTGAGGGCTTCGCACATTGTCTTCACATGTCGTAGTTGAACAGTTCTGTTCGCAAACCACTGTCAAGCCCCAGTCACCGAGGAAAACACCCTATTGTCTCTGTTGCATGTCGAGTTCTTTTCGGCGTGTAGCACAAACATGCGTGCGCCGAAGGCAGCTTGTGGATGGTTCTTTTGAGCCGAATTCCTGGTAGCTTTCCTGAGGGTAGGAACCGGTTTCGTCAAATCTGTGGCTGAAGCTCAATGGGACCTGACCCGTGAACCTTAAGCCCCTACACAATGCCCTATACCCTAGACCGTAAGCCTTAAGCTGCTGCAGCCGAGGTACATTCAATGCGATCGACCCACACCTCACTCCGAAGCAGTTTCCTCGCTACAGCAGCTAAGCGAAGCCACTGGCAGATTTGTTGAGTTTCTGTGGGGCCTGTAGGTAATAAGGTTTCCGGTTGGGTATAAGAGGATCTGCTTGCCCAGCAGGTGTCCAAGGGGATTTTTGAAGGGCCAACCCAGGCAGCTGCGGTGGATGCCGGGAAGGGAACAAGACAAACGAGGAGATTGAGCAGTGCATCCAGCCCTGCTATAACTTGAGCTGCCCGTTTGCCTAGCAGAACTACGTCCTTCTGATCCATTCCGGGCAAGTTTGTCGACACGCTGTAGGGTTGAGATCTAGCATGGAGGGTGCAGGGTTGGGCATTCATAGAGCACTTCCCATCTCCCCTAGCGACAGGACCTCAAACAAGCCCTGAATTAATGCTGACACTACGTGACATCCGGAGGTTTCGTCTTGGAGTGGGAGCGCTTCAATGCAGAGCATGGCTACCAGCTGGTGTGATCCGGCCTGTTCATGCTTGCTGTTGCTATCCCGAAGGGTCCTCGTACCTACATAATAGAAAGTAGGGTTTCTGGGTAAGTATTCCCCATATACATACTTGGACCCCTTTGGCAGCTGCATCAGCACATAGGTCCAACAGGGATTAAGGAACAGACTTAATCTGGTCGTCCTGACAGTGCTGGCAGGTCTGTGTCGCCTCTACCCGAGTTTGGCATGCCCTGCATCCCTAAACCCCTAAACCCTAGACCTTGCACCAGGGGTGCGGAAGTCGCACACCCCAAGACCCCAAGCATACTCCGAACTCGTAATTGAAATTTCTGGTCTGTAGCCAGTTGTGGCTCATAGTGCTTGTTGTTACGTGTAGTTTCAGATAACCCCGTAGATCAAGTCCTATAAGTCCTAAGGCTTGTTTCCCCAGACGCAGGTAAGTCCGCCTTCGGCAAAGGTAACAAGCGCTGTCAGAAAGGAGCGTAATGAAACACACATGCGAATCACGAGACCATGTAATCGTCTAGGTACATTCAGGAGACGTAGATGCTCAACATAGATTCGAAAACATGTTTTCTCCCCAGCGGCAGCCCTAAACGTTTCACGACCTCATCGAAGACAACTGCAAAATAAGGCTTCTTACGAAAGCCTCAAGCAGCGGCAATATGTATCTAGGTTTACAGCGATCTGAATAATTAGTAACACTATTCCCTGAATATTCACCAGTATACCTGCAGTAGGTTAGACCCCAATACTAATCGAGGCTCCTGTGCTACCCAAGCGAGCACCGTCTGTAGGTACTTCCCCTCGCGGCCGGGTCCGCAAGGGGAGGCTTCTGTGAATATTTCAGCGTGGTGGCTGCCAGCACCTCCGACGGCTGCTGGGGCTTCGTTGTTGAGTTGGGGTTCGAGAATAGGACTCCCTTTCAGTAGATTTTGAGTGTTGATTACCCAAACAGGCTGTTTCGTTCATTGCTGATTTAGTCTGTCTGTGTCTTTTCTCACCTAAAAACCCCCTTATCACCCAAGGCCAAGCCCTAAACCCTACAGCCCTAAAGCTTTAAAACACCAAAACCCAAAGCCGAGGGTGCTACCCTACTTGACCCTGCATTACCCTAAAGTACGGGAATTAGGGCATAGTCCTTTTTCTGGGTGGTAATTTATGCAGGGTTTATATCATCAACCGTGTCACTAAACCCTAAACCCTAAACCCATGAACCTCCAAGCACCTGCTTTGAACAACAGCTCAGGCGAGAGGCCCTGCACCACGCACCTGGGGCCAGGTTTAGCGTTGGTGGGTCTTATAGGGTTTAGGGTTTAGGGTTTAGGGGCTCCATGTACCCATATACCCTTATATACCCTCACAAGGACTCATATTTTAAGGCCTGCGGGGGCCCAAAGATCCTATTGTAAAAGGCTCTTGGGCTATTTTTAATGCTAAGAGATGTAGCTTATACTTCGGCCTCAACGGGGTTATATATATATATAAATATTTAATATATTTATTTATTTATTTATTTATATATATATACATACATATACATATATAGGTATGTTACCTATAGTCTCCATTGTAGCTCCTTGTTGGAGTTACCGCACAGTAATAGGATCCTAGATATAGAGTTGGTTCCACCGAAAAAAGGAACTGCAATGGAGACTATAGGTAAGGCCTAAGTGTATACTATATAGGATACATGGAGCCTTAGATTCAGGAGTGTGATGTTCCTGGGTTGGTTCGGATCCGCAGAGGGGTTTGTTGAGGTTTGGATTTTGGGGCTTCGTGTTTAGGTAGAATTGTCGGCGTCTGCTATTGGCTTTAGTTTGCTGGGCTAAGCAGTCCGAAAATATTCGGAGTTCATCGTGCGCCTGAACCCTTGCCCCTCGAATTCCACATCCTGTTGCCACCCTACATCAGGCTTTCGGAGTTGATTGCGTGATTGAAGAGGAGGCTGTTGAGCATAGTTTACCAGAACACCCCAACTACCCTCTATTATACCCTAAGTACCCACTATTAAGGACCATAAGGGCTCTATTAAAGGCTACTTGGGGGGTGCTGGTAGGGTTTAGGGCTTAGGGTTTGTATGTCTGTGCTTCTGCCAGAAATGCCAGGCATTGTGGTTCTGCACGGCGTGGGCTCCAACAATAATCACTGCGCCTTGTATTCTCAGTCCAGCTTCTTTGTGGCTCTCCCGTAAAGTTTAGGGTTTGGGTACCCGCCTCTTGCCACTGTAGCAATGAAGGTAGCTATACTGAACAAGCCCATGCGGTCCCAAGTACCCATACAGTAGAAAGTAGGATTTCTTTCTCAGGACTTACAGTTCTGGTAAAGTCATATCCCCTCATACAAATGGTACATGGGACATGAGGGGAGGGAAAGGTCTGCAAGAATGTTCAGGTGGAGTGCAAGCCACGTGCTTCCTACTGCGATCCATCGGTTTCAGCTGTTTAACCCCGAGCGCAAGAGACAACGGCCTCTCGGGCTCCTCGTCGCATCCGGAGATCACGAGCTGGGCCTACGACTATCACCTTGACGTCGCCTGGACATTACCTTCAGGGAGCCCTAAACCCTAAACCCGAAACCCTGGTGGAAAAAGGTGTTAAAAAAAACGAAACCCTACACTAAACTCCATAAATCTTGGTTATGAGATGTTGCTGCAGTGATCATAGATTTGGTGTTCGCAGGGCTTTTGGTAGGTTTCAGGCTTCAGATTATGATTCTCCAAACCCTCGGCGCCAACAAGTATTATTCCATTCTGCCAAGAGATTAGGCTTTAGTATGTAAGGCATGCCATCCAGACTAGTACGATCCTTACAATAAGAAAGCACACTATAAGAACGGATCCCTAAGTTCAAGACGCCACGAAACTGACGCCAAACACAGCGATTCAGGCGATCAGATTGGGGAATCGGACTGCAGGGTGAAATTCCTATCATCCCCTGTGCCAAAATCACCCAGCGCTCAGTGGTAAATCTTACTGCGGATCATCTAAATGTCTGTCGTTCGTTCGGGCTTGGAGTTTTCGTTTATAGTGTCAACTAATTAATGCTAAGCTTCCTAGCAAGTCATGAACACTGTCCACCAGATGATTTCGGCATTAGGGTAGCGTGCATTCTGCAGTCCCACAAAGTTTAAACCCGAAGCCCCAAACGCTACACTCCGAAGATTAATAATTTCCTGGTTCCCTCACCTCGATTCGAAGCCTCACTCGGCCTTGGCAAAACCAGTCGAGGAACTACTAGCGTATAAAGGGCAACCGCGAGTTTCTCATCACGTATTTATTCACAGGTACACATAAAGGATGCATTGTGTCTTTACTTTTTCTGCATGATCTATATCGCCCTAGGGGTCCACGTACCCAAGTATGTACTACTTGGCACATGGACCCTTAGGGTCAGTTTATCATATTATATCTATAGTCTATAGTCCTACCTGCTCACATACAATCTAAACCCAGAACCCTACCTTAACCCCAAAGAACCTACCTTTTTCGTGCTCCTTATTATGATTTCTTTATATAAGTCCTTAAAAAGGTAGGTCATTTGGGGTTAAGGTAAACCCAAAGAAGCACAATCTAAACCCTAAACCCCTAAACCCCTAAACCCTAAACCCAAAGAAGCACAAAGACAGCGATGAAGGCTCTAGGAGCCTGGGACTATGCAGTGGAGGATCCGGAGGGGCTCCTTGGCGGCCCTCTGCCACCAAGCAAAGTTGGCCTCATGGGATTCTCCAAAGGCGCTCGGCTTTGGGTGTTTTAGGGTTTAGGGTGTAGGGTTTAGGGTTTAGGGCCTTTAGGCTTCCTTGAGGGGGATTAAGGGCTCCTACTGTTGATGATATATATGTCCTGCATTACCTTAAGGACCCTAAACTATGGGAATTGTATGGTATATTTCTTATTAAGGAAGTGCAGGATTTGGATCATCAACCGTAGGGTTTATGGATCATAAGGTTCAGGGATTGTCCAAACGTGCTGAAGGGGGGATGAGACCAAAACCAGCATCACAAACTAAAACATGCGCCGCCATAGTTGCAACCATTGTAATGGTACGATACTGGACATCGTACGTCGCAAGATCTTTTGCTGTTGCGGTGTACGAGGACGACTACTCTGTACACGCACGTCGACGATGACGAAGACGACTACTACCTACTACCACCAGTTTTTTCCGCCCACTACCCGACAGCGAAGTAATTATGTACCACTTGCTCTTGCTACATGCTACGTGCTGCTTCGGAGATGTCGGCGAAAATGGTATCGTACCGCAGCCAGCATGTGTCTGTATTTATGTATGTATGCATGAGCATATGGCATATGTTCATGCACATGTTACATGTATATGAGCCCGACTCGCACATATACAGACACTTGCAAATACATAACCACAGACAGACAGACAGACAGACAGACAGACAGACAGACAGACCGACGGACGGACGGACGGACGGACGGACGGACGGACGGACAGACAGACGGACGAGGGCGTGTGGGCTTGTACTGTGCGCGCATCGTTGTATGTATCTGCACCTGAACGGTTGTACCGCAGCGTTCTTGTGCCTTAAGTCGGTCTGTTTGTTTGCGTGCTGCTGCTTTTGTAATCTACCCATAGGCCCCTAAGTAGTTCCTTTGTGGGATTATAGTATATAAACCATAAAGGAACTACTTAGAGGCCTATGGGTAGGTATTTGTTTATGACAAAGTCTTTGAACGTCCATGCAGAGCTGCAAGTTTGCACGCAAGTGTTTGGTGTTGGAGATGCGCGATCCTGTTTTGGGTGCATCTGTCTTCGCAGGGTCATGCCTGTGCGTGGTTTGCAGCACATACGTTTCATTACAGATGTCAACTAATTACTCATTATATGTTGTCTGCATGCTTGACTTCATGCACATGTGCATGTGTGCACACTCAGCATAACATAGAACCAGGCATATGCGCATGCATGGAACTGCTGCTCGAGCAGTCGATGTTCGCCTAGCCAAGGACATGCACGCGTATAAGTCCGACCTATGCAGATGCACATATGCGTCTGGACGGGTGTGTGTGTGTATACATATCCCTATAAGGGTCCACGTACCCAAATAGTATATGCTTTGGTCTTAGAGTAGTCCCAAGAAAAAGGTACTTTGGGGCCGACTTATACACTTTTTGCTTACATGGAACCTTAGGGTGATATGTGGGAGAGGATCTCTGCAGGGTTCCAAGAATTCCTAGGTTCCCCAGTAGTGTCCTTTGCGCTTTTCGCCTCGGGGTCTCCTTTTTACCCATAGGCCCCTAAGTGGTTCCTTTTTATGGTTTACATTTAGAATTTGGTAATCCCAAAAAAGAACTACTTAGGGGCCTATGGGTAAAGCCGAGCATTTGTAGAAAGTAGAAAGGGCACCCTTCTCATTAAGGGTCTCTTAAACCCCTACTATAAACCTGTTTAAGGGGTCCTCTAAACGCTAAAAACCCTGTAGAAGGGGCCCTAAACCCTAAACCCTAAAACCCTTATTAAGGGATTACTGTATGATTAGGGGCCCTAAACCCTAAACCCTAATATGATTAAGGGCCCTAAACCCTATAAATCCTAAATCCTTACTAAGGGGTTACTGTTTTTTATTTTTATCTTTTTTTATTTGTAGAAACCCAAGAGGTGCCTTGGAGACTGCCATTGCGTTTGGCTTAGAGCAACGAGCTCCCGGTGCTTGGCTGGACTCGGGGCCTTACGGTGGTCTCTTTGGGATGATTCAATCGGTGCTTTCGAAGGCACGGGGCCCTAAGCCCTAAACCGCTAAGGCTTAGGGGCTTAGGGCTTAGGGCTTAGGGTTTAGGCTGATTCAATCGGTTCTTTCGAAGGCACTGGGCAGGAGACTTGGCGACTTTCTCGCAAGAATTGTCTTTTTCTGGGCCAAAGTCTTCACGGGCAACCGCGTGGATGTCTTGAAGCCGTTGGTGTTGCTGCACAACTGCACTCCCGGGAACGTTCGGAACGTGCTGATTGCCCAGAGCACGTTGGACGAAGTCGTCCCAATTAAGTATGCAGGCATCGCTATTTCGACTCTGTCTGGACTTCCGAGCTGCTATTCGGTGCGCACCTTCACGCCCCCGCAGTACTGCAATGGTGCAACGCATCATCAAGAGATGTGGGAGTTCCCAGATGACACCCGGCGCAAGCTCTGCGATTTCTGGAGCAGCACCTTCAAGCAAGATCAGGCCCTTTGCAACTAGGTCCGCCAGTAGTACCCTTTCGCCCTTTTTCTTTTTGGGTTCCCTTCTTAAAACCAAACAGTAGGAAAAGGGTACCCTTATTATTAAGGGGCTACTGGCAGCCCTAAACCCTAAACCCTAAACCCCAAGGCTACTGGGGAACCCTAAACCCTAAACCCTAAACCCCTAAACCCTAAACCCCTAAACCCTAAACCCTAAACCCTAAACCGAACCTAGGCAACCTGGAGAACCAGCCAGACTTCCAGACATGGTCTCCTTCAAAGCCCTTGCCTCCCGGCAGCCCTCCCACGCCGATCTTGAGCTGATGTGGGAGCTACGCTGTTGATCAAAATCCTGCATTACCCCATAATAAGGAATATATACCACAATTCGCATAGTTTAGGGTCCTTAAGGTAATGCAGGATGTATATCATCAACAGCATTGGGAGCCCAGCGAGGGCAGAATTCTATTCCTTTATTCTTTTTGGGGCGGTGCCCTGGTTTAAGCCCGCACGTCTTGGCTCTCAGAAGTCGTCACTGGTATTCTCAAGCCCTGGTGAAGGCCGCAGCCCGCATGGCTTCTACAAGGCAATCGATTGTTTCTGGAAGTTGATTTCCAGTCGAGGAGAGGAAGTAAAACGTGTCCTTGCCCCGCACCCCCTAGACCCTAAGCCCCGCAAATGCCCTCAAGAACCACGCCGGAGACATGTTGTCCCAACCCACAGTTGTAAACCCCTAAACGTAAACCCCTACTGTAAACACCTAAATCTTGAACTTTGGGCCCCAAAACCCTAAAGCCCTAAACTCCTAAAAGCCTCAATCCTAAACTTTGGGTCCCAAAACCCTAAGCCCCTAAAAGCCTAAATCCTAAACTTGGGGCCCCAAAACCCTAAACCCCGCCCTAAAAGCCTAAATCCTAAACTTTGGGCCCCCAAAATCCAGGCCCTAGAGGCCCTGGAGCAAAGCCCCTACCCTCCGGTGCCTAAACCTTAATGACGACATGAACCCTAAAAGGTTTCAGGGTTCATATACCACATAGGGATTCGTAGTATAAGGGCATAGGGCCCCTACTTTTGAGGGTCATTTCGTCCTTAAGGAACCGCCAACCCTGAATCCTTGAACCCTGACGGCTGAACCCTAAACCCCCAAACCCAGAACCCTCGAAAAACTGCTCTAAACCCTCAGCACTCCCTAAGCCCAAATCTTCAGAGTATAGGGTGTATAGGGTTTAGGGTTTCGGGTCTACCCATAGGCCCCTAAGTAGTTCCTTCTTATGGTTTATATATAGAATCCTATAAGGTAATCCCAAAAAGGAACTACTTAGGGGCCTATGGGTACAGAGTTTAGGGTTTATGACGCTTCCAAAATCTCGGCTCCGACAGCTGTAGCTTCTCACCGCAACTCCGGATCTGCTCCACTCCCATGGGCAGCCTTTAGGGGTTTAGGGGTTTAGGGTATACGAGTACCAGTGCAGAAGGAGCACCCGACCAGACATGACCTCCGATCCCACACTTTAACCCTGAGGCTCGAAGAAGCCTAAAAAGCCTTACATGGTACGGTCTTTGGGCCCCAAAGCCTTAAAATAGGAGTCCTTAGAGCCTTAATTTAAGGTAATTAAGAGGCATTAAACCCTAAACCCTAGGCCCTAAACCCCAAACCCTAAACCCTAAACTGGGCTCTCTGGGTTAAATTCAAGGGCCAGTCTCCGCTCTCGTTCATTCCATGACCTCGCAAGGCCTCCTGCTCAGCTGCGGCTGAATCCAAGTTCTCGAAGTCATAGTCCAGCTCCTGGGTCTAGGCAAGTAGACTTCCCCAAAGATTTCCTTAAAGAGATCTATAAGCGTTCTATACCGGGGTTTACGGTTATTTGAAGGATCGCGGGACTGAGTATTTGAGGCTACAAGAAAGGGAGTTTTATGTAACTATAGTTATAAATACTTATAACCCCGATTAAAGTACCTTATAGTCTTATTTACTTACTAAGCCCCCATGATCCCCCACGTAGGTTTCTGTTGATGACATGCACTGGCCCTGGCCCACACCAAGCCGGCCCTCGCATACTCATCACACTACCGATAGGCTCCATAGTAGTTCCTGTTTGGGGTTCATATTAAGGATCCTGTGAGGTAATCCCCAAACAGGAACTACTTTGGAGCCTATGGGTACAGCTGGAAAGCACAAAGTTGGCCTAACGCCTTACGCAGTCAAGCGTGTCAACTGCATCGATGCCTAAATCCTGCCCTAAACCAAGGGGCACATGGACTTTACCTGTGGAATATTGTTTTGACACGTACAATCCCGACTGCCACGATGGGGATTTGCGAAGCACATTCCCGAACTAACCTACACTCTACAACGTCTTAGACCCCGTACCCCCTCACCCAGCCCCACAAACCGAAAACCCTGTAATACAAGGGCCAGTCGAAAAATAAGTTTGTACTGTTCCTTAGGGTTCGGTCTCAGATTTGTACCATACAAGCATTCGTAAATGGCTAAGGCCCCTAAACCCCCAACCATTCTAGAACCTTTCTAGGAGCCGGTTCAAGAAACCCTGAAAGGTTTACTTTATTAAAGGTGTATTTATAGTACTCTCTTAGTAAGGCTCTAAACCCTAAACCCGGAACCCTAAAGCCCTAAACTCTCTGAGAAAGGCCCCTTTACAACATCCTGAGAGTCCCTTGTATGGTAACTCTATAGACCCCGATTTCGGAATCCTTGTAAAAGGGGCCCTATCGTTTTTGAGGGTTTAGGGTTTGGGGTACGTAGCAAGTCTATAGAACCCCTTTCAAGAACATTTCAACAGGGCAACTATTGCTTTTCTCCAACATTATCGTTTAACTATTAATGTATTCATAGTTTCTCGAAAAGCCTCATAGAGCGCTCTTGGCCGAGTTGCGTCGGGCAGGGCTTGGCCTTTGCTGTGTCGACGGGTCTGCACGAAGAAATTGCCCGAACTCCTCTCGAACGGTGGGTCTTCAGGGCTTATAGAGGTTTTAGGGTAAAGGGTTTTGGGGTTTGGGGCTTAGGGTCTAGGCCCCAAAGCCTAAACCTTGAACCCCTAAACCCTCTACTCTAGGTTTTAGGGTTTAGGGTTTAGGGGTTTAGGTTTTTAGGGTTTGGGGGCTGTGGTTTACCCGAAGGCTGAAGATGGCCTAAGTGCCGGTTATAGCGTGGTCTTTGGGCCCAAAAGCCTTAGAAACGTGAGTCCTTAGAGCCTTAGGGTTCAGGGCTCCCAGCGTAGAAATGGTCCCAAAACCCTCTGAACCCCTAAACCCTAAACCCTATTTCCTAAACCCTAAACCCTAAACCCCAAAACCCCAAAACCCTAAGTCCCTAAAGAGCGCCCTGTTTGGGACTTTGGGCACCTTCGAGTCGAAGATGTTGGGTACAGTTTAGGACGGATGGGCATGCGGAGCGGTTGGGTGGGGATTAAGGTTTAGGGACTAGGGTTTAGGGTTGCAGGGTTTAGGGTTGCAGAGTTTAGGGTTTAGGGGTAAAGCCTAAACCCTAAACCCTAAATCCAAAGCCCTCAATCCAGAATCCTCAAACACTACGAAGCCCCAACTGAAAGCCCAGGCTGAACCCCGCAAATGTTGTACCTTTTATTGTGTCACCTTAATTTGTGTTATACATTGGGTGTTTAGACGGTTTAGGGTTTCCAAAACAGCGCTTCTTAAGACTGCTGCTCCATTGTAAGAAAACGCAAGGAGCTTTACAGTACAGTAGTGGTGTAAGTGTAACTCACTTGCTTTGAAGCCGGCACCCACGACCCCCTAAACCCTAAACCCTAAACCTTACACAGCAAAACAGTCCTAGCAATGTTGCAGTGGCCGGGTCTGCATGACTCAGCTGCGGTGTTCAGTACCAGACTGGCAGTGCCAAGTGCCGCAAAAGTGACGAGCATCATCAACCCTAAACCCTAAACCCTAAACCCTAAACCCTAAACCCTAAACCCTAAACCCTAAACCTTAAACCCTAAACCCTAAACCCTAAACCATCTGCACGCCGGGGGGAGGGTTAGTCAACCAAGCAGCTCGGGCTTTCCTTGCGGACGAAATGAACCCTAAAAGGTTTTAGGGTTCATATACCATCTAGGGATTCATAGTATAAGGGTTTAGGGCCCCTACTTTTAAGGGTCATTTCGTCCTTAAGGTTTGGCATGTGGCAGATACTTGCTTGACATTCGAACTTTGGCGCGTAGCAGGCAGGTTACATGTCTGAGCTACAGGAGGGATGTTTCAGTCACTTGGCGGCTGGCAGGAAGAAGCGGCGGCATGTAGACAGACAAAGTAGAGGTCTAGTTACATTCTGACTCTCACAATAGCGTGGGTCTCCGTGAGGCTGTACAGATAGTGGGATGCGAGGGGGCCGACAGAGCGAGAGGGGGAGAGAGAGAGATGCAGAGAGACATGGTGAGACAAAGTGAAGTGTCAACATAGGTGATGTACATGCATGTAACAAAGTGTGTTACTGCGTACATGTTTATGTATGTTTACATATACACCTTCATGTATCGCATCATGTGTGGACGTAAGTAGATGGACAACTAGATAATCACTTCCCCAATTGATTAAGCCGCCCGTAAGAATAAAATCACTTTGGGGCCAATCCTCCCGAAAATCATCCCTGCCCTTTAAACCCTAGTTTGCATTAGGGGGTCCGGAGCAAGAGCAGGAGTAAGAGCAAGAGCAGGAGCAAGAGCAAAGAAAAGAGCAGGAGTAAGAACAAGAGTAAGAGTAACACCAAGAGGATGAGCAGAAGCAATAGCAAGAGCAAAGCAAGCGCAGGAGCGAGAGCAGCAGCCGGAGCAGGAGCAAGAGGAAGATGCTTCAAAAGTGACAGTAGAGATAAACATGCACCCTAAAAATAACAGCACTTTCCGCGTCTTTATTAGGGGGAGCGGGCCGGCCCCCACTGTTTAATATTAGGGGGAAGGGATTAGATAGGCAGGTAGCCATGTGAATATGCAGACATACAGACAGATCAACAGAAAGAGAGAGGAAAAGAGCGAGAGAGAGAGTGACAGAGAGAGCTAGAGAGAGGAAAAGAGCGAGAGAGAGCGAGCGTGTGAGAGAGCAGAAGGACGGAGAAAGGACAATCATGTTTAAGCACTGAGTAAAGCCACGGACAAACACGCCTGGCAGCACTGAAAGAACTGCGTGGGAAGACCCCTTAATGAAGGCCGCGATGTTAGAAGACGAACCGGACTAATTTTTTTATTTACCAGTATACTCTTATGATGAGCGCAACCCCTAAACCCTAAACCCTCAACTCCCTAATCAAACCCTAAACCGTTCTTACCTTAAGGACGAAATGACCCTTAAAA